GTTAGCTAGAATAATAATCAGTCTAACTCGCATATATTGTGAATTTGTCTTTAAAATTTGTTTAAACAACCAAAATAGAACAGAATAGCACACTGTTACTTAAAATGTATAAGATATTAAAAGGTAAGTCTCCAGATGTTAACTTTTGTGTAGCATATCATGGCCAAATGTCTCCAGAAATAGAAATGGTTTTTTCAAAGAAAACTCTACTTCTGTATTTGAATTATAGTTGAAAAAGGCATTTGTGGTATATTTGTTCATTGATGGGGAAATAAAAAAAAACATCTTTAAAAGGGGGGAAAGAATATAAGTGAGGTATAGAGCCATGCTCCAAAAATAAATAAATAAATAATTAAATAAATAAATAAAACAAAAGAGTGCAACTGGAGATGAAAACAACAGAAGAAGTGAGACACAGAGAAGATGGATAAACAAAAAAAAAGACTATAAGAAAAAGCGCAAGAAAGGTAGAAAGATGTAAAKTAAGGTACTGTATAAGAAAAAAAAGGAGATTTTTAAAATGAAAAAAGACAAAAACAGACAAAATAAAATATAAAAAAGGGGCCTCCTATAGACATCTGTTCAACAATTTCAAATACATATTAATCATGCTGTTGAAGGCAGCACACAAAGTTAATGCAGCAAAGGTTTACACAAAYGTGAATTCAGGTTTGCACAACATATAAAGTACAATGTCTTTGAAAACAACAGCAAAATTCTAATTCTAAGCTAAAAGAACGAACAAAGCACTTAACAAAACTCACTTTAATGTAAAGGCTAGTCGAGCTTTGGGTACTCTAGCAGTGTGCACCCTCACCATCGGTTGAGGTGTTTACTACAGCAACATATTGTCAAGTATATTCTCCAAAAGGATGTGGCAGTACACTTTATAACTTGACAAACAAAAATATTTGAAAGTTTTAGTTTGCATCACTGTTGGCATTTGGTAGGGTTGGGCAAAATCGTATCATGTGCAATAGTCAGAAAAACTTGAATCAATAATTTTTTGGCACTTGAYGATTAATGCCTCCAGGCAGACTGACGATTTCCCCGGTCAGTCTGCTCGGTGCTCCTCTCTGCTTCAAATAAAAAAAAAAAATTAACAGTTCTGTAATTTATTATTCTTAACTCATAATCATAAGGTTTTACTTGGTCTGTCGACACAATTTTTAAAATTGATGTTTAGCTTGAAGTCTGTATTTTGACACAGTTTGGAACAGACTTTTATGGAGAGCAAATCTTTCCCACTAGTGCGACTTAAAAATGGTCATGTGATTAGGATAYGAGGGTGTTCAGGGACTCCAGGGGATTAATCACCATATTAACCATTATCGGCTAAATACCACAATTAATCATGATTAATATTTTTGTCAATATTGCCCAACCCTAGCGTTTGGCCCCTATTGCCTGGTGCGACACATCAACTATAAACCCAGCTTAAACATGACACTGAAATACTCCTTAGTGGAGTCCTCCATCATCAATTATCTCTTGTTATCAYAGAACAATTAATTGTATTCTATAGCTCTGTAGTAACACATGCATTGACCTTCAACCACAACTTAACAGAAAAAAAAGTAATAAAATTAAATAAAAAATCAAGGAAAAAAATCATGCTTCATTAGATTTTTCCTGTTTTCAGACAGGGAAAAAGTTCTTCAAATTCTCTTCAACAGAAGTTCAAAACTTTCCCTCCACCTCCCAAAAAAGACACTAAATATATAAATCCTCACAGCATGGAGTCCAGACAGCTTTTCAGTGCTACAAACCCAGAACTCAACACTTCAAACTCCAGTCTGAGTGACTGAAACACACATGAAAAGGCGTTTACCCAGGCAGCGAACACATATGGTTACAAAGCAGCTAGAGAGGAAAAGCGGCCATGTTTCTCTCTGTAGATGGTTTCAAAGACCGCCATCTTTACAGACTTATCCTAATAAAAAATGTAAAGAAAAAAAATAAAAAAGCTAATTATTATTTTTAGGTGACATATCTCTTGTTGTAAATAWGAAGCATTGTTCTAGAAAAGATAAAATAAAAAAAATACATAAAATAAAAGTTTACTAGCATAGAAAATCAGTGCACAAACATGAAAAAGCACAATGGAAAACACTATTTTTGAATCGAAAATAATGACATCCTAATAGTGTTTCTGCCAAAATAAAATTGTGAAAAGTATACAGCTCCCTTTCTTGCTGAAAAAAAGTCAGATTTGCTTGCAGTAACATTAAAATGTAATCTTCACAACTCTTCCGAACAGGATTACAAAGACAATGCCATTATTTTTTGTCCCTAGTTCTTTTCAGCTTGGTTCATATTGAATAAAATAAAGCTTTAATCTACTGTGTTGAATCTTTGCAGTTGCAAACAACTTCACTTTTGCAAGCCTGTGGACCAGTGATGTGGAAATATAAAATACAAAAAAAATATATATATTATTTATGGTCCACTTGAAAAAAATCTATTTTGCTTTGAGTTTTATTTGTGATTGGAAACAAGCTTGTGCACAGAAAGCAAAATACAAAAGTAAGAATTACTTGTTTGCCCTGCAACCACATTACACAAGAAACCATTAGTAACATTAAGAGTATGAAAAAAGAGCTACAGCAAAAGAAAAAAAATGTTATCCAAATAAATGGTACAATTTTACTTGTACTTATACAAAATCTGCTGATTTTAGCTCACTAAGCTATTCAAACTCATGCTTGTTCATCACATTGTGACAATGTTAAGAATATTTTAAACTGTTTTTTATGAATGTTTGGATGAATGAATGAAAAAAAAAGCTGATGTCACTGATAAACACCAAGCTGAGAGCTGTCTGATCTCTGTATGTTATTGCTGCTCTGTGTATTTTATTTTATTTTATTTTATTGTAGAACTGAGCAGAAAGAAACTAGAAAACAATGTTATGTTTTAGCCTTATAAGCCACAGATCTGTGGAAGTAGCTTGGCTGACTCTACAGTCTGTAACAGCATGACTCCAGGCAGAGCAGAACCCCACTAACAGATGTTTCCTTATGATCTTCAGCTACATTTTCAGTGTTTGATAAAGTAAAGCTAAATATGACTATGGTAAACACCAGACAAGTTTTCTGGTTTCATTTTAAGGAAATGATCACAGTTTGATGAGCTTGCTTTTTCCACGCTAATTTCCATGTGTATAAATGGGAAACAAAGGATAAAAAAATAAGCAGATATTAGACTTGAAGAGTTTTCCTTTTGTAGCAGCAGATCTGAGACTAATCAGTTCATCATTTGAGATGGATACATGAACAGGAATACTTAGAGCAAAAATAAACTGTCCCAGACAATTACATTTTTTTCCTATACAACCTTTACTGGCTCAATAGATGTTCACTAAAATGCATTTTGAGGTACTGTGGGTTTCATAAGAACAGGGCGTGCAAGTCAGTGAATTGAGTAATTCAAAGACACTCAGGAAAAAGATGAGACAGAATGGAGAGAGGCGCACGGGAAAAGACAGAGGCCCAGGGTGCCCGTGGAAATGGCAGTTAAGGTCGGAGCAGGGAACGTCTGGGCACAAGTCAAAGCAGAACAGTGGCTTCATGAGAGCAGCAAAGTGCTGCAGGGCTCTGGGGAATGCCCTCCACTAAGCAAAGAAAAACATACTTGCACGCGCGCGCATACACACACACACACACACACACACACACACACACACACACACACGCCAAAGTAAGAACGCTCTCAGTAAAAGAACAAGCTGATCTGTGCACACACTCAAGCTCATAGCCCTAAAAATAAACATGTGCATGGATGAGAAAATAAAAACAAGATCAAGTTAGCAATCAAAACAAACAAAAGTGCACACACAAATTTAATAATTAAAATAAAAAACTTGATAATAATGAAAACTAATAATAACAAAAAAAAAAACTAAAATATTAGGATCATGTTTACACTGCGGTTTTTAACATTCAATTCAGATTTTTGCAGCATGTATTTATGGAACAAGAGCAAAGTGCTAAAATAAAATAAAAAAATTAGACCAATGTTACTATTATACGTTTTTGTGGATTCTCATTCCTCCAGGACATGGAAAAATCAATGAACAAAAATGAAGCAACCGACTCTTGTTCTGGAGCTGAAGACGTGCGGAGATACATGATTTAAACTGCACAAGGCTGGTATTAATATTCTAAATACTTGGATTGATCCACTCACTCCCACCTCATTCAAGTAAAAGTCAGATGTAATGCAACATGAGCCTGAGATCATATTGTAAAACATCAGATATGTATCCAATTTAGTACCACATAATGAAGAGGCCTGCATTGGATTTGAAAAAAAAGAATCTGATTTGTCACATTCAGACTGTCATGAAAAATCTGATATGGGTCACATTTGCCTGCAGTGTGAACGTAGCCTTGCTCAGGTTTTTCCTAATGATAAGATCACTGGTATGGGGCTATTCAACTGGCAGCCTGCGGGCCACATCCGGCCTGCGAGTGACCAAAGTTCGGCCCGCCAATTGGTTCATTCATCTCTTGAACCCAAACTCCCGGTTAGCTACTTTAATTAAGTTGTTTTATATAGACATAGACATGTTTGGTATCTGCAGAAATGTCAGAGTCTTGGCTAGAAGCTGGTAAAAATAATTTATTTGAAAATTCAAGACAGTTAAAACTATAAGCAGTTGAAAAGGACACTATGACAGTAAAAATAAAATCAGTTTAAAAATTTGGCAAGTCAGAGATGTCAAAATATTTGTGTTAAACAAGAGGCACAATGTGTTCTTTTTGTTTTTGATATTTTCTTATCACTACTTTTATTACACATGGTTCTGTATGTTGTATTCATGATGAAATGCAGAAAAATAAACTATTTCATAGGTAACAGATATTTGCAATACTTGTTTTATTTACATAATAATGTTCGGCCCCTGTGCTCTTGGCCTGCATGAACTGTGCCCCTCCCCCCAGAGCAATTTAGTTGACTAGCCCTGCTTTAGTATAATTTAGGCATTCTTTTCTTACCTTGACAAGATCCACTGATTTCCTCAAATCCTGGCTTGCAAACACACTTTCCAATGGGTACCAGCCATTCTCCCTCCGTGCTGCAGTGCATCCGCGGCGGCTCATACAAAGGCACAGAGTTGTTGATGCAGCGGCCCACCACCTCCACCAGCTGGGATGCCTCTGAACCCGGGATGGTGTCAGAAAACTCTGCCAGGCTCTTTACCAAGAACGGGCAGCGTTTGTAGAATACCCGCACYGAGACTAAAGCAATGCAGGCCCCTAAATCCTGGAACGCCAAGTAGAAGCCTTTCCGGGTCAGAGGTCCTAAATCGCGAACTTCAGTGTTGAGCTTCATCACGCGATCCCCCAGGTCCAGCTCAGTGAAGCTTTCATCAGCTGCTATGGTGTCAATTTTAATGTATCTGTTCTCTTTCATTGCCCGGTCTTCCTCCTCCGTTATTCCAACACCATCCCTCATCCCTCCATCCTCCATTTCATCCTCATCACCGTCCGTTTCGTAGTAATACATGTTAAAAGTCTCCTTGCAGGTCCCGACCCCTCCAGGAAGGCTGTTACAGTCTCTTAGGGTGAACTTGAGCTCGATGTATACTCGCTGGGCACCTTCSGTCAGGATCCAGTTGGTGTGCAGCCAGTTGTTCTGGTTTTGCTCCATGACGCGGCACACTTGGTACGTGTGAATGGGGGCGTAGTCTTCGTCAACTTCCCCGATCTCTTCCCACTGCGGCAGAAAAAAGATCGATATTGAGAAGCAAAACAAAGAATAACATGATGATTGCTTCAAATCAGCTGACATTTACCAAGAGGACTCGACTTGTCCATAGTTTTTAAATCACTAGATAAGTCCTTTCTGCTCTGGGTTCTGAACAAAAAACTACTAATATATAATTTCCATTATAACATGATGGTGTGATCATGATTCGATGTTGTATCTGTGGTCCATTTTGTTTATCAGACTGATGCTGACAAAACACAATGCAACATCAGAGCCAAACATTTGAGATTTATACCGTTTTTTTTTTTTCAATATGCCTATTGCACGGACTGTTACAGCAGTGATGATACATTTGCGATATATTGTGTGCAGCCCTAAAACAGATCTAACAGTAATCTTTGAAATAATACATGTCACCTGCTGCATTTTATATGCAGGTGTTTTAAATATGATTCTCTGATGTTGAGAAGGGACAGGGATCTTTTTGGTCAAACTGTGTAAATGAAATTATGCAAGATCTCAAATCATATAAAGAGATCTCACATGGTCTGTTGCATAAAATATACTATAATGTACAATACAATAAAGCTTTGTTTCAGAATCAAGTCTGTTAGCATATTTTTGCTATGAGAACCATTTTTAGGTAATATGCAAGGTTTAAAAACTTAAAAATACAGCACAGATTCCTTTGTTAAAAGGCTTAGCAGTGGTGAGAATATTATTTATAAATTTGTGCATCACAGCACAGATAGAATAATCATCCTTTCTGCTTTATTTCCTCCTACTGCACAAAGAAAAAAAAGCAACGAAGTTGAGTTAAAAGGTGGGAATATGAACAAACTGAGAAGGAGTTATTTGAAAAAAAAAAGTGTCCTTCTGATAGTAAATCTATAAGGCCACTTTTTTAAAGTGTCAACATGCGTGTGTGTAAGTTTGAGCTAGTTCTGGCTGTGCATGCATATATGTAAATTATCTTTCAGTGTTCATGTGTGTGGGGGCGCRTGCATCTGCATCCATGCCTGTTCGCTTCAGACAGCAGCATTAATTCCCCTCTGCAGGTCTCCTGGGATGTGGCTATTATCTGCATCACTAGCACTCTCCCATGGCTAATACAGGCGCTTCATCATGTCACTGTAATATGGCCAGAGGGACAAGACTATGATCTGGTGTTATAGCCTAATAGCCTATATTAATCAACCCTTGCTGTAGTCGCTCTACAACCTTCTGTTTTTATCTTTTCTCTCCGTCTTGTTTCGCCATCTGCCTGATTTTCAGTCGTCTCCGCTTTAGTCTGAGTCTTTTGTTTTATGGATACAATTATTCAGCTACTGAACCACATCCAAATGAACGCGGGTAATTTATTTATTTATTAGAGAATTCTGCGCTGTCAAATGCACATGCCTTCATGATTATATTCATAAGGTGTGCATATGGCACACTCAAGCACTTTTAGATGAATAAAGTTCTTTTTTTTTCCCTCCTGACAAGCAAGAAAACATGACAGGTCAATAAAGAGCTAGYGACTGAGTTTCACTCCAATCAAGAYGAGCATTAAGAGCATTCGACTAACAAGAATCATCACCAGTGCGAAAGCTTTAACAAATCTATGTGCTGGTGTGTGACTGAGCCCCTGTTTCTTGCAGACTTGGGCCCAGTTGGTCCCAGCACAGCCATTAAGCCTCTTACTGGTAAGATCACACAGATCCACCAGCCTGCTCTGAGTTTTACACAGCTTAAAAACACACACGCACATGCACACACACACTTGCATCTATTGGGATGCCGGTTAATATTTGTATCCCAGCAGGGTACTGTACAGATGACCTTCATTCATTTTCGCCCACAGCTAAATGGTTTCAGCACACACGGTTACTCTGGAAGTCGTCATCTGCACCTCAGCTGGTTTTAATGGTTATTTGTGCAAAGAGGAAATGGTACTTGAATTTACAGGGACTTGTCAAAAATGATTCCATGCAACCAGTTTACTAGCAAATACCCTCTAACTGAAATGGGAGTACATTTCAACCAAAACACATCAGGAAYATATAAACCTGGCATTTGTTGAATGAATAAAAGAAATGCCCACWGTCATAGATATTTAGAATTATTTCATGATAGAAACAACAGAGTTGTAGCCATTTTAGTYACACCTTGGAAATATTACTCAAAATCTCATATGATATTGTGAGATGCCACACTCAGAATACAGTAAGTGCCACAGATGACCTAGAACTACTACCGAATTAAATTTTAGCTCAATACCAGCAAAACATTTTAGCTGTGGTGGCCATTTTCATTCAAGTTAACTCCAAAAGTCAATCAGATGTTGATGTATAAATGATTAATTTCAGACTTTTTCCATTAATATACATCAAAATTGCAAACAGTTTACTTCAACCTTTAATGGTAGAACTTCACCAACAGTTCCTGTCAGTAAGTGTTCAAAGCATCTGTTGAGATGGTTCTTTGGTAACAATCACAACAAATTTAAGTTAAAATTTGGTGCGGGTATAGGCTTGTAGTTTTATTATGATAAGTCTAACCTAGTTGTTAAAACATGTCTAGTGGTTCAAGAGAAATTTTGGTAACAGACAGATTTTATCCCTACTACACAAATTGGCTCCTAAATCAGGAACAGATTATATAAGTCTATATTATTAGAAACACAATGTGCTTTGCTTTCAATATAATGGATAGGTGGGCATAGAATGCTCAGATGTCAACCCCCACCAACACACACAAACACCGACACACATCCTTGTACTTGCATCAAACTGAGGACTTCGTGTTGACTTCCATTCATTTTTGTAAAAGCATTTATGCCTACCTCAGACATTTTCCGTAACACTAACCATTACCAGTTTATTCCTAACCTGAACCAAAACTTCATTCACACCATACCTTTAAACCAAACTAGTAGAGTGCAGTAGAACTGCACAAAAAAGTGAGACAAGTACACACACACACCATGTGTTGATTGACTTGACAAGCTAATACTGCATGCCAGGACCACCCACGGTGATAATATGCATTGGAAAAAATAAAATAAATAATACAAAGCACAAAACAGTATATATTTTAAATGTTAATCACAGACTGAAGTCTTGGTAATAGCCTTGCACATATTTGACTCTAAGTTGCAAAGTTCTTCTATAAAACAAAATAATAATCTATTGATCATTCAGAAACACATGGGGAGTTTTACATGATTGAATATGTTAGAGGAAATGGTTCCAATATCAATATATATGGATAGATGTACGCATTGAGACGAGTTCCAGTGGTGACAAACARCCCAAACATCTGTATTGTTGCTTATTTGCTTCCTGGTCATCTCCACTTTGCAACACAGAACTATCCCTATAGGCATCCCCGCAGCTCCTCATTAGTGTGTGTGTTTAGGTTTTCCTCACTATTGAATGTGTGCCTGTGTGACACATCCATCAGCAGGCCCCCTGTGGCTGTGCTGAGTGCTCTCCCAGCTCTAATTCTATAAAGCCATCTGCAACTTATTATTACTGCCCATTACCATTGACCATCGTGACACTGTAACAGAACTGTTCCTTTTGCTCCTTAGCCAGACAACACCTCCCCGCCTTTCCCATTYCTGCCTTCATCTTATCTGTCCTTTCATTTCCCGTCTCATTTTCCCACCTTTTAATTTCAGCCATGTCTATCATTTTCCCATTTGCATCCTCTCATTTTGATTTTAATTAGAAAATCATAAGTCTAACCTAGAAATTCTAGACGTCTTCCTCTCCTATTTTATTTTCACTTCTCTTGGACTTGGTTTCATCTAAGTTGTCCACGGTTCTTTATCTCCTTTGTAGTCCATATAATTTTCTCTTCCCCTCACTTTTTCATGTCAGACTTTCCATCAGTCTTTCATATCCTCTTACCCGTTTCGGCTTTTCTTTTATACTCACTCATCTTCTGTCTTTCGTGTTACTGCATTCAGAGAGTAAAATAAGAGAGAAAACTATAAACGGAACTTATCTTGTGAAAAAAAAATGCATTTAATAATTTCAAAATAATGCTAAACTATTAAATTAGCAGCATGTTTTTTTTAATTTTTAGTGACTATTTAGGGTCTTGACACACACTCTAAGCTGTCATTTAGCATATGTTCCTATTTTTTTTACGGTGCGCTCAGCATGTTTGACGCTAGCTCGCTTTCAACTCTGGTCCGAGTACACCAATTCAGTGGATTTGTGGAATAAAAGACAGCTTTATAATGAGCTACTCAGCCAAGCAAATCACCGATTACATCAGTTTAGTGAGGTCTTGCCTCTTTTTCTTGTCTTGCACAACTAAAGGATTGTGGGCGATGTAGGGCTGAACGATTCGTTGCTCACCTGACAATAACGTCAAGCAGGGAGCTCAGCCCTTGTTTAAAGTTCACTCACTGTGTGGATTCAAGAGCTCTGGAACAGTTTTGTCAATGAACTGTTAAACACACRCACAAACACATACAGTTTAAACCTGAAAAGCTCTGAACTGTGCCCTCCAGGACTCAGAGATGTGAAACACTGAGTKTTGTCCATCTGTGATGCTACATTAAAGGCTGGCTGAATCAGCGTGTTTTGAATTGTTCATTTTAAGGTCTTGTTACTAGTGGAAACTAAAAAGTGGGGATGCACAGATGTGAAAATTTTAGCCGATGTAGATACCTGATATTAATAACCGATATTTACCGATATTACACAAACACACTAATTATATTAAAGCACAAGCACACTTGCGTCTTTTTTTGATACTATAAAACACAACCAGACGTCTGACATGGCTCTCTACTGCAGTTATTCCTGGCTGCGCCACTATCACTACCAGGATCAAACAGATGCCGCTTGATTAGGGGGTGGGCGGTATGACCTCCAATTCATATCACGATATAAATTGAATCCCTTGACGTTAACGGTATATATCGCGGTAGAAAATTATCATAAAAAGCAAAGATAATGTAATTTTTAGAGCATTTATTTAGCAGAAAACTGCAATCATAATCAAACTCAGCATTTTTTGCTGTATTGCAAATGAACATAAAAGAAGTACAAAAGAATGTTTATCAAAATAAAGTGGATGTTATAACCAGCACTTCAAGTAAAATTAGTAATTTAGACATAAAAAACTAAGTTGGCATAAGTTGCCTAAAATGTTAGTGTGACAGGACCTTAAGGGCCTTAAGTTGCACATAGTCCTAGTCTCAAAACAATTTCAGATAAATGGAATGTAAGTGTTTTGAAGCCAAATAAATGTAATATCGGCCTGCCATACAATAAGCCTGCTGAACTTATCGGCTGCTGCTCTGCTTCACTCTCAGAGCAGAAGCCGATGTTACATTAACAAAATGGATTTATAACTGAACGAACATCCACATCTTTTCTTTTTATCATCTGTGGGTAACAATATATGAAAAACAAGTTTTTTTCCAATGACTTGGGTGTGAAAAAAACTACGGTTGTTAAAGCTTCGCTCAGTGCGATGTGCAGCGAGAGGGAGGAGGAAATGTTCCCGCTATAAGACGGCACCACGTAACCGTTCTACGGTGGGAGGGGGACATTTTGAGGATTTATTCTCTCCATACATGTTTTATAGTGCTATATTTCTTCAATTATTTTTAGAACATTTTGAACTCCTCCTGCTCAGTGGTCTCTGCACTCACAGGTGCGATGAAGTAACTGACAACAGGATGGTAGAGGGTAAATTTCTACCGTAGGCCAACTTCATATCGTTTCTACCATCTATCGTATATACCGCGCAGCCCTACGCTTGACCAAACATTCCCCCATCTGAAACAGAAACAGAAGTGGCAACAAGCTGGGACTCAATATAGACTTCTAATCTCGGCCCAGTTTTATTTATCGGACTGATTCCGATATGCTAAAAAAATGACCAACGTTGGCCGATATATCGTGCATCCCWACTAAAAAGAAAACTCCAGTTCCTAACACAAACATAWCTAAGTTTGAGAGATAAAAGCAAGTCTATATTTAAATCATGCACAATTTTGTGTTGATTAATGTGAAAATGGCAAGTCAGTTTGCAGTATTTGGGTTTTCTGAGACATGGCGCATGTGTTTTGTCAGCTACCAGACACAGTTTTTTCTCTCTTTTGATTAAAGTTTCAATACTAAAGCTGAAGTGACATAAAGCYGAAAGGCACATGTCATCAGTCTTCTTTTGTCACCACAAGGTTCTTTGGGTCTGCTTTGTTGCAGGACCCYTCTAGCCCCATCCACCACTGTCTATTGATGTTTAGATACAGATAGAGCAAAATGTTTTAAGTATTTACCCCACTGATGGGTAGTAAGAGAATGGAACTGACAGCAAAGACAATCCATGTAGTTAGAACCATCTCTTTAGTGCCTCCTTCTTTGCAGACACCATTTAGTTTATGTTTATCTCTTTATGAGGCTAGAAGCTGTAGTTAATGATGATGTCATCCAACTAGCCCAACCTGCAAGTGTGCTCAGCTCCAAGGAAGTAGGACCAATAAAGAATGAAGGTATTAAAAACATTACTGTATACACAATGTACTCTGAAAGTGTTTTTTTCTCTTTTTTACCTACATTGATGCTCACACATTATCAGTTTGATAATTTCTCATTATTTTGCTCTCCATCTCTTTCCAATTCTCTCTACTTTTATCTCACTCCACATCTGTCTACAAATTCCATCTCGTATATATGCCATTTTATGATTGATATTTTTGAAGGCTTCTGGTGTCTTTAGAAGTTTCCTGCGAATGAGAACAAATTCACAACTACGGCTGTTCATATGAGGGTTCAGATGAAAATTTGTATTCCTGTTTTTTTTTTTTTTAGTTATAGGCGTTTCATCACAACACTAAAAGGCAACCCAAGACCAAAAAAAAAGCCAGATTTTCTAAACTTTCTTTAGAGAAATAAAGACTTTGTGTGCCTTTTCAACAACTTCTTCAGCCAAGACTCGAACAAGTGTGAGTGTGGGTGTTTTTGTGCCACAGATGGGATGCCTCTATCTACAAACTGAAAGTGAATTATAACAGCTAATCGCCAACATTGATGTATTTTTACATGCAAAACAGGGAAAAAAAAAGAGTGTCACACATATTTGGATTGTGTCTGAATAAATATTAAAAATAATTAAAATCCATCTTAATGTGCAGCTAAATAGTAAGAGCTAATGAGGATTTAATTAGAAGAATTTGAATATGTCTTATCATATCTTCTTTCCTGAGTGTCGTTACGTCCTTGAAACGTTGGAAACGCACACAAACACACAACATAATCACTTCCTCGTTAATATGATTGCACATATGCCTGCTTTTGTCAGCACTATCTTTACCATCTACAGACTGAATGGCCACAGACTGAGGCATGATTTAAATAGTMAGAGCTGAGAAAACACTACGATCAGCACAATTGCTCCATTGGGTTTAGCTGCAATTTTGCAGACAGGGGCCGCGGTTATGAGAGATCTTTCCTATGAAGTAAATACATGCACATTGTTATTTATTATTTAAACCAAAAATAGTATAAAAACTATGAAAGTAGGGATTTTTTAGTTTATTACAAAATGTAAAATTTAAGGGCTAATCTATTGTCATGAGAGGTGAAATTTTTTTAACATATCATGAAAATATATTTTTCCAACTCCAGTTTCTAGTAAGTCATTCTCTAATTAGCTTTCACTTTGGGAATACTTGGAGATGGATATTCAACTCTTGGCTTGAGAATAATTTATTCCACGGTGACTTTCAATATCTTATTCATGAATTCAATTTACCCTGAAAACGAGCTGGGAGTTTCTAGAAACGAAGTGACCTTTAACCTCAATAAAACAAATGAAACATTTGATCTTTACTATGAAATAGAAAAGTAGTGAATGTTTTAAGACCAAAAGGCTGAGTCTGAAATATCCAAGTAGCTTCGCCAAAGAAGGAAAACCACATGCCATAAAAAATACATGTACGACCAACAAAATAACAAGATCTTAGATATCTTTTACAATAACTGAAAATATCAGTGTTATTTAGCAAGAAATACACTCACCCCATTCTTAGGGTAAGCTACCCATCCCAGGTCTCCCATCACAGAGCGAGAATCCAGCAGGTTCACTGTTAAAATATCAAAAATACAAATAACATAAATATACACAAACATCCCAACAACCACTTAGAAAAACAGGAGAAAAAAATACATGTAATTTCCAGCATGTAGGTCCAGTTGCAAACCATTTGGAATATTTACCTATATTTCTCTTTATTTTCTGATGTTAATAAGACCAAAGCATTACAAGTATCCAGTTATTGAATGTGCAGTGGGGCATCATAAATACTGACAGTTATGGAGAGTGAAAAGTGACTGTTGGATATACTCCACCCTATTTTCAAACACTTAATGTGATATATCACAGAGCTGTCTCTGTTGGAGACTAGTTGGCAACTCAAAACTGTAGGACAATTGCAAAAAAACTGGGTCTTTGACTTAAATTTTTGCCTGAAAAAAATAAGAATACTAAAAATAAAATYGTATTTGTCAAAACTGCTAATTTAAAATCAAATGGCAGTTTTTGTTTGTTTTTTTGCCATAAAATGTATGTTGTCTGTTGCAGTGCAGTAACTTGAAAATATTTCAGGCAGAGGCAACCATTCTAAGACYGTAAGGGAAGCTCAGCTTCCCCTAAAATGTCAAAACAAATAAGTGATCACATATATATACTGTCTTGTCACATGTTATTGACTAAAAATGTGCTACAACGCGCTTAACTTTTGTTCAGAATCAGCTTCTTATCATGGGTAATGATGTGGCTTTCCYTTCACTCATTCCCGCAGCTTCACAGAGCTTTAAACAGTGTGGATCATATCTATGGTGTGGAYGCTGAGCTTCTACAGAGTTCAACAGCGAAGCAAAGATTGGAGCGAAACAAGACGTGTCATTGGATAAATGCTGGGCTTTGTCCCGCCCATCAAACGCTGAGCATCTCTGAGGGGTCTATGGGGCAGTGGGCTGGCCTCAACTGGCCCAGATACTCAGCTTCTGCATGATGATTGGATGATTTGTCTGAGGCTGAATCCCTTTTTGATTGACAGTGAAATCAGCGAATCAGCGATCTTTTGATGTAAACATCTGTGGCAGCATTTTTTTAAATTGTATAAACCGACACATTTTATGATGTAGGCCGAAATTGAACTTCCCCTCCTTGAAAGACCAGCATCCGCCACTGATTTCAGGGGCCATAATATTAGCATCACTCCTAATGTTCACTTGCAAAGAYGGTTCAGCACAAACCCGTTATCAGAAATGTGTTAATGCATCAGAACAGCTGACACCCTCACTGTTTGAGCTCCATATTTGTGCACCTTGTTCACAAAAGCTAGTTTTTCTTTTTCAATTTACACATTTCAGTGTCTGCAACACAAGTACATTTAGACTTATCCATTAACAAACCTCTCCGCTCAGCCTCTTGAAAGCTGTCAACTGCAATTACATGACCCTTGGTATCAGTATAGTCACTTATCTCCCCCTGTTTGCACAGTCTGAATTATTCTTTTTTGATGACAAAAAATATAAGTCACCAAAGGTTTTGGACAAATAAATAAATGTAAAAAAAAAAAAAAAACATTGATAAATAAGCATCTCATTGCGGTGACCACGCCATCCAGCTGTGCTGTTTAGTTTAGCTCAAACATTTCTGCAAACAGAGTTTCTGTTCACACCGGGTTGACCATGGAAGAAAAAGGCAGGTGAAAAGACTTAAATATTTCTGACAAGGGCTGAAGCTTTATTTCCAGATGACTGGCCTAGAACAAACTCTCAGCAGCAGTTTAACAAGCCCCTCATAACTCACACAAACGCATGACGTATCGCTTTGGTGCCTCCAAAATCTGTCCTCGTTCGCTGCAGCGTGCAGTGTCATAAACACAACTCATGTTTTGTCAAACTCCACCTCAGTTTACTTAATCTTTTTTTAAGATAGGGTTTGTACTTCACATGTGCCGAGTGCAGTGAAGCAATAAAGGAGAAAGTCGAAGTAAATGATCTGTTATTTAGGACGACATTGAGTGGGAGCAGCTGAAGAACACAGAGGACAGGAACAGTGGGAAACATGTCAGAGGAACAGTATCCTTATTTTGGAGTTTTAAGGTTTTTAAATCCTCAAATATTCGTCTTTAAGAACTGACTAGTTTCAAGTTTGTGTTGGAATGAGTTCACCCATTAAACTATCCCTTGCAGAGTTTTAAACTAAGATCCATTCATACTGAGAGGAGTTGTAAATAGAGTTATGAATAATCCTGTGATTCTTTGCTTGAACCACTCCTAAGTTTAGCACAATATCAGTAAAGCTGGTTGAGTTATTGAGATTTTTGTTTGATAAGTTCGCTTCGCTGAGGCAGCCATCTTGAATGGATTTGACTCCATGTTGAAGTTCATTCAAGGGTAACCTTTTGAGCGTTACATTAAAATATGTTCGTTGGTTCATTTTTGGGTAAGCTACAGACAAACACATACCGACACGGGCAAAACAAGTGCAATTTTCTTACATCTCTTCGTATTTAAGTTTAAAAAAAAGATTTTATGGATGCAAAGAAATGAATGGTTCCAAAAAGTAAAATCAACAGAACATTCACTATTGTCTAACAAGTCCTGTTCATTATCAAAGAAATTAGGGATGCACAATATGAAAATCTCAGCCAATGTCGATTAGGGTTGGGTGATATTGGCAAAAAAACAGCAATAATTGTGGTATTTAGCCAAGAATGATTAATATCATTATTAATATCCTGGAGTCCCTGGACATATCCTAGTCACATGACCAATTTAAATCACTCTAGTGGCAAAGATTAACTCTTCGTAAAAATATGTTCCAAATTGTGTTACAAGTACAAACTTCAGGCTATACATCATTTTATAAATCATGTTGATAGGCCAAGTAAAACCAGAGTTATGATAAATAAATTATATATCTTTTTTTAAAAAAAAATGTTAGGCGGAGAGGATCCTCAAGTGGACTGGGGAAATCTCCAGTCAGCCCGCCTGGCAGCATTAATCGTACTTTTTTGGTGTCACTTCAGTAGAAAACGAAACCAAATATTATTAGTTTATTTAGTTTATTTATTTCTTCATCATTAATCGTACTAACCATCAAGTGGCAAAAAAATGATTAAAATATTTCAGATGATTAATTGCACACGATACGATTTTGCTCAACCCTAATACGTAAACATACTTTTTTCGATACCGTAAAAAAACAACCAGACCGCTGACATGGATGTTTACTTCAGTTATTCCTGGCTGTGCAGCATCACTATCGTGATCAAATAGACACCGCTCAACCAACAATTTCCCTTCCCAAAACAGAAACACAAACAGCAACACGAGGGAAATCAATATCAGACGTTAATATCGGTCCAGTTTTACTTATCAGACCAATATGCTAAAAAAAATATCAACATCGGCGGATACTGACGTTAACGCAAATATATATTGCATCTCTAAAAGTAATGTGGTCACATTTACAGCCAGCCTAAGTGTGTAACTTTCTCCTGTTTTATGTTCATAAAAATAATTTAATGAAAAAAAAAACCTACTTAAAAGCAAACAAAGTTAAAGCAGCACAGGAACAAAGATACACCTCCTCTGCAAACCCCTACCTTCCACACACACACATAAGTCTCCTTACTGTCTCCACTGCTCTGCAGAGAATAATAAAAGATGTCCTGAGGAGGCGATTAGACAACTAATTAGGCCATAAAGAAGAGATAAGTGATCCTGAACTAGATCATAAGGGGTATGTTACCTCTTTCACTCTCCAAGGATCAAACCACCCAACAAGTCAGAGCTCAGCAACGACAAGAATCTACATTATTAAAAGTCGTCTGCAGTGAATGAATGGAGTCACTTTAAAAGTGAGAGACACTACTTCAATACACACTCCAAATGTGATGCAGAGTCAGTGGATTTTCAGCTTTCAAATACTTACTGTATAACTCTCATCTGGATTACAACTGATTATGAGTTCTGTCAGGAAGAAAAAAAGCAGTTGGTGTTTCAACTGTACACTTTTAAACACACTTGTGGCAATTAGCTCCAACTTTTCTTAACTGATCTTTAAAATAGTCTACTGCTGGAAACAGTGTTTAAAAGAACAAGATTGCTTCCAGCTGTGTTTTTAACCACTCTCTGTAGTCTTTGCTTTTTAAAATATGCCAGCTTTGACTGGTCATGGCTTAATGACCTGCTTCCTCTTTTCCACCGAAGCWAACAAGACAAATACACACTTCGACAAAGTCTGTTGCTGATTCCTGAGTTGTATTTTGTCAAAAAATTTAAACACTTAGGATGAAGGAATGCATATTTCTGGCCACCTTTCATGTCAGAAAGTACAATTCAGATAATCTCATGTTGAGAAAAGACAAAGTTGTAGACAATTTGATKAAACCTTGAAAGTAACCTGCAAAACCTTGTGTGGTATCAAAATGTATGTTCAAAATACACTGTGAATGACTCTCAGTTACTAMCACGTCAAAATGGACTGAGTTATATCTATTTTTGTGTCAGTTAATGATAATTTTCTGTGGCAACCTCCTTGAACAGATTCCAGAAGTTTATTAGTTATAAATAATTTTTTAACAGCCAATAAGATAGGYAAAAACAGAAGAGTCCACCTTCACCTTCCATCAACTGAAAATAAATGGTTWAAAAAATCCTTAATGTGAGTGCTCACACACATAATATAACCAATTTACAGCAAATCTAAAGCAGTTAGCTCCGCATTCCTCTTCCTCTGAAATTGATCAATTTAAATAAGCATGGATTAGCTTTAGGAGACACAAATCAACACGACAAGGGTGTGTACAGATTTCCTCATAATTATTCATCAGGGGATACTTTACAACAGAAAAAAATTAAATAAAAAATGCTCCCAACAACAAGAAGCCCATTAATTCAATAATGGAAGCATCAGGATTACTTTCTGCTCATTTGATTTTCGTTTAGCTTGCACAAATAAAAGCTGAACTTGTGATTTTTGAAAACACCTTAAAATATAGCAAAACAAGAGCTTCTGCTTTTGTTAAGCGAAAAGTAAGACAGCAAATTCACATTGCGCACTTTTCCTGAGTTTTAAAAATGCCTGATTGTGTCTGGTGTCTTTTTAAGTTACTGTAAATCAGGCACATTAGGGAATTGGTTTATTTAATTACGGTTTTCCTCCCCATTTATACTTGATGTTGTGTGACAATATAGCGCAAAGCAAGCGTGTCCCAAATTAATTTAAAATTTGAGTTCAACAGCAAACTCTGGCACGATTCTCGAGGGCTGAACGTTAAACAGTTTGATTTTATGAGTTTTAAGCTTTTAATCAAATTTAAAAGGAGATGAGAGGAGGTTTTTGAGAAACTAAAACTGGTTCTTGAGAAAACTGTAAAAATAAAGAACAGTGAAACAAGTTGATTATGCAGGACAGCAAAAAAAAAATGTGACTAATATGATCAAATGAGTGTGAATGTCATGGCCTCATTTATTGCAGCCTGAGGATTAACCTGAACAAAAAATGTTTTATCAACACAAACAAAAAATGATGTCTGTATAAAAATAAAAATATATATATATATATAATTAAACTAAATGTGTTTTACTAACAAGATGTTTGGCCTTACCTCGTTAAAAGTTATCATCTGAACCAAAGAAACAAAGTGATAACCATGATAACCAACACACTGTTTCAACTTAAWTTGTGTTACAGAATGGTGCCCTGAAAGACCCCCGGGACCTCTGAATGCCCTTACACTGTGATCCTAAACTCAAATAAATCCATCGTGTAAAGAATACACAAACTGATGAATGTCGTCCCCTTCCCGGATAGCCCAACAGCTCCAAACAATATCATCAGGCGACTGCTCACACTGCAGACAAAACAATACCTCCCCTTCACCCCAATTATGTGAAATATATCACTTTACAAAAATCCCCTTACATTTAGCTTGGGACGTGGAGGTGGTTCCCTTAGCTTTTATTCATAGTTTGAATGGATAGAATGCAGGATGTTTGGAGCTGATATGTGACACGATAACCAATAGGCCTGAGCTGCGACAAGTGTCAGTGACTCCAAATTGTGGCAAAATTGAAAGAAAATCTGGTAATTTTTCATTGAAGTCTCACTAAATTCGGAATATTTTTGACCAGTGAACCATGCAGTCACATTTTGAGAAGCATGCATTTGAAAAAAAAAGTTAAGAAATCAAATGAACGCTGACCAGAAGCTCTAAACCAGAGGAGCCCAAAGTGGGGCCCGGGGGCCAAATTTGGCCCACCAATCCATTTGATTTGGCCCACCAACATTTGCCAAAGTTACAAGGTTGTAATCTGTTATCCTATGTAGAAACACAGTATTTCCATTGGTCAAATGACTATATAAAAGGGCTGTAGTGAAGGTAGTTTTCAGTCATGGTGCTGACTTTATCTTTGATTTATTAGGATTAAACATGAAACATGAAATGACAACAAGAAATATTTAGAGCAGATTTAACCCCACATGTAGATTTGCACACTTTATAAGGCCACAAAAACTCATTTTATCTATTTATGAAATGTCCCATGAGCCTTTGCTACTTGAGCGTATGGCAGACTTTCTCCAATACCCTGAATAAAACAAAAGAGGGCCATTGCATAGCTTAATCGTTAAAAATAAAGGACTTCACTTAAAAAAAAACGTTTTTGTATTTCATGTATTATATTACAGCATTTTGCCCGCAGCCCTGGATAGATTTTCATTTTGGCCCTCTTGGGGAAAATGTTTGGGCACCCCTATAAACAATACCTCGTCCCCAATTTTGTGAAACATTTTTACCATTTTATAAAACCTTACATTTTGTTTGGAATATGCATACTTAGCGTAGCATTTGAAGTGAGATGTGCTAAACGGTGACAAGATAACTGTAAATTACTTTGAACTAATTTCCCCCCCAGCCCATTTAATGTGGTGAAAAAGGCAAAAAAATCTCATTTAAAGACAATAACAAAAGCCCTGTTTTTAATTAGAAATTAGGTTATAGCTYTTAAATTAGGATGTTAGAAATGGAACAGCTGAAAGATCAACTTCATTTGAAGTGTGAGCAATAATAAACAATATTTAAAGGGGAGGCTGTGATGGTGATGAAGTCATTGGGGCAGTTCATTCATTGTGTTTTCAGACAGATCCAGAGATGTTCGCTCCTCGGCGCGCACCTGCTGGTTATCTGAGACAAACATGTTCTGTCCAAAGGTCCTGTTTTCATTTTATCTGTTATCAAGTCGGCACACAGAATCATTAATGGCTCGGGGAACAGCTGTCATAAATTTACCACCTCAGATGATAAAGACAGCCGAAGCGGATCAAATGATGGTGAAAGACGGGGGAACTTCACACATTCGGACCTTGCTCGGTTCTTCATGTCAGCGCCAATGAAAGCCCCGGGTTTGTGTCCGTAATTAGCTGAGCCAATTTACCTTCATTTGCCGGGATGCCCCAGGTTCCGAACAACGCCACGCTCCAGGTCCAGGTCCATGTCACCAGCCGAATGCCACAACTCCGCCAACGAGACTGCATGGCTCATCCAAAAAAAAAAAAAAAAAAAAAAACAGTGGCAGGCTGTCCTCAAACAGCAGCACTTTGTGTCAGCATTAGACGCGGGGAAGTGTTCGGATCATCAGGAAGGTTGTGAGTCCGCTTGGAGACACCGGAGCTCATGTTCCGCCGCGGCGCAGTTCAGGAGAGGAGTGTGCGCTCCGGTTTGGAGGAGGCGGGCTGCGCTCCGGCAGGGAGGGAGGAAAAGGGGGGGCGGGGTTAGGAGCAGACTCTCTCCAATCGCAGACCACCCGCAGGTGAGACCCCCTGCTGCTCCAGAACKGGGTTGTCCAAATCATTATCGACTCTCACTCGTTACCTCCTCAGCTCTGTCATCATCACGTGCGTTTCTATTTTAGGGGCTCTCCGCTTTGGATTTCTGAAGTTGGCTGTTTGAAGACAGAAGAGGTTTTTTTTTTTTTTCGTCATAACAGCTTTTGCATATTTGTTTGWAAGGTTCACGCCCACATGTTGAGCTAAAGCTAAACAGTATTTTAATTAATTATTCAGTCGTTGGGAGAGTATATAGTTTACAGGCTATGTGTTTAATATTTTGTACGCTACTCAGTTTTCCTTATGTGGTAACTGACAAAGCATGACTTAGAAAAGCAAACACAAAACCTCAATCATAATCTGGTATCAAATGCATTTAACTCAAAATGAATCACTGAATGGATCTATGCACCATAATAAAATCCTTACACCTTTAACAAACTGTCAACTAGTTTGATCTCAATTAGTTTGTTGACTGAAGCTGCTGAAATGATCAGAAAAACAGAGAACACCAAAAAGGCCTTTTTTAGATACACTTAAATAAACAAGAAAACGCTTGTAAAACACTGACAATGTTCACTTGCTGCTTAGGTGGAGGTGGACAAGGTTTTGTTTTATACCTCAAAGTTTCAAAATAAAACTAAAACACTGTATAAGGCTTGAGGCAAAAAAAAAAAGAAATCTGTTGCAAAAGTTTTATTCATTTTATCTCTTCACTATTCAGTGTGTATTTACGCTGTGCTGCTTTTATTATTCTTCCAGTCTCTTTATGATATAGTTGCTTTGATAATCACTGAGTTGTACTCCTGTGGCATGTTGACACATCACGCTCCTTGTGCTCACACACAGATACACACATTCACGTATAGACGTATTGATTAAATGCTCCAGTTAAAAACACACACTTCCAATACACTTTCCCATTACCTTCAGATCTGCATTTCCTGTTTTGACCATAAAAGATCATCTTCAGATTTTAAACACTAATAATTTTTTTAATTATTATTTTTCCCCTCTGTTAGTAATCAATGACGTTTGCCAAACATATAGGTGTAGTGGTGGGGTGGTGATATTTGTAATTGTGTGGTCTAACAGCAGGTGTGGAGGTGGTTGTTGTGTTTGGGAGGTGTTGCTTCTCAACAGGGAAAAGTGTAAGAAAAAAAAATCCACCTCCAAAACACCTTTGTTATGAGATTTAATCATCATCCTTGTTGTGTTAAGAATGGATTTTTGCCTGTAAGCGTGTGTTGAAAATATTTTCAGATGATCATGTTTGATCTCTGCTTCCAACTGCAGTTGTGTGTAAATTTTTGACACTAATTTTTTTCTTCAGTGCAATCAGTCTCTCTTCTTGTTTTTGTTTTTTCCTCCATATGACTGTTTAGGTGTCACAAACACTTGTGCACCGAGTCAGAAAGATTAAAAAAAAAAATGAGCATGTGTGGATTTTGCTTTTATTATGTCTTCAATTTTTACTTTTCCTCGCAAAGCAGCCAGTGCATAATGACACCAAAAATTATTTTGTGCATTCCTTACAGACACCAGCTTTGATAGAAGCACTATTTAATGCCCTGAGAATGAGAAGTAAAAGACAGAAAAGCAGGTACTATGATGTAATATAATGTTAAATTTGACACGCTAGTCGGATAAAATTAGAATATTTTCTCGTGTTTTGATGATCTTAAGTAACTAAATTGTTTTAAAATGCTTTTTTTCCAAAACGTGTTCTGATGTGGTTGTACCTTGGGGGCTTAACACTCAGCTATGATTTTCTGTCTGCCCACACATGACAGTAGGGGAGGGAAATGGAAAAACAAGGTCATTTGGGGTCAGTTTAACACACACACACCCACACTTGTGCGTGCATTTCCTTTCATACAGTCCCAGTGTTTCACACAAGAAAATGCACATTTTTATTTATTTATTTTTTATTTTTTATTTTCCTGGGAGTACCTTGTTGGCAGTAAGGACGTCTCTGTCTGTGGCAGCAGCAAAAAGTCAAAGTTGATTCAGGTTTCCAACTGAGACAACTCATTTCTTATGCACACACAGACCCAACACACATGTTGGATTTTTGTGTCCTCGTGGGGACTTTGCATGGACTTCCATTCATTTTCCAGTAATTTATTTTTTTGTCACTTCAGTAGAAAACGAAACCAAATATTAGTTTATTTAGTTTATTTATTTCTTCATCATCAGTGGCTTTTTCTTTTTTTTTAAGTGAAGAGAAAATAGAGACAGAGAGAAAAACAGAGAGAGAAGTAATTAGAAAGATAAAAATATTGAAAWAGCGATTAGAAGTATATTAAATATACACCA